CTATACTATAGACTAGACTATAGACTGAACTATAGACTAGACTATAGACTATAGACTAGACTATAGACTACTAGACTATAGACTAGACTATAGACTAGACTATAGACTAGACTATAGACTAGACTATAGACTAGACTATAGACTAGACTATAGACTAGACTATAGACTAGACTATAGACTAGACTATAGACTAGACTATAGACTAGACTATAGACTAGACTATAGACTAGACTATAGACTAGACTATAGACTAGACTATAGACTAGACTATAGACTAGACTATAGACTAGACTATAGACTAGACTATAGACTAGACTATAGACTAGACTATAGACTAGACTATAGACTAGACTATACTAGACATAGACTACTATAGACTAGACTATAGACTAGACTAGACTATAGACTAGACTATAGACTAGACTAGCGTCAGGCATGGAAAATTGAAATTTTGAAACAAGAATGAATACTTTTTTGGGTTTTAAAATACTAAACTAATTCTCTGCTAGACTATAGACCTGACATTAAACCAGACTATAGACGAGACCTTAAACCAGATTATAGACTAGACTATTGACCAAACTATAGACTGGACTACACTAAAGACAAGACTATAAACGAAACTATAGACTAGACTTTAGACTACACCATAGACTAGGCTATAGGCTAGACTATAGACTAGACTATAGACTAGACTATAAGCTAGACTATAGACTAGACTATAGACTAGACTATAGACTAGACTATGACTAGACTATAGACTAGACTAGACTATAGACTAGACTATAGACTAGACTATAGACTAGACTATAGACTAGACTATAGACTAGACTATAGACTAGACTATAGACTAGACTATAGACTAGACTACAGACTAGACTATAGACTAGACTATAGACTAGACTATAGACTAGACTATAGACTAGACTATAGACTAGACTATAGACTAGGACTATAGACTAGACTATAGACTAGACTATAGACTAGACTAGACTATAGACTAGACTAGACTATAGGATAGACTATAGACTAGACTATAGACTAGACTATAGACGACTAGACTATAGACTAGACTATAGACTAGACTATAGACTAGACTATAGACTAGACTATAGACTAGACTATAGACTAGACTATAGACTAGACTATAGACTAGACTATAGACTAGACTATAGACTAGACTATAGACTAGACTATAGACTAGACTATAGACTAGACTATAGACTAGACTATAGACTAGACTATAGACTAGACTATAGACCTAGACTATAGACTAGACTATAGACTACACTATAGACTAGACTATAGACTAGACTATAGACTAGACTATAGACTAGACTATAGACTAGACTATAGACTAGACTATAGACTAGACTATAGACTAGACTATAGACTAGACTATAGACTAGACTATAGACTAGACTATAGACTAGACTATAGACTAGACTATAGACTAGACTATAGACTAGACTATAGACTAGACTATAGACTAGACTATAGACTAGACTATAGACTAGACTATAGACTAGACTATAGACTAGACTATAGACTAGACTATAGACTAGACTATAGACTAGACTATAGACTAGACTATAGACTAGACTATAGACTAGACTAGACTAGACTATAGACTAGACTATAGACTAGACTATAGACTAGACTATAGACTAGACTATAGACTAGACTATAGACTAGACTATAGACTAGACTATAGACTAGACTATAGACTAGACTATAGACTAGACTATAGACTAGACTATAGACTAGACTATAGACTAGACTATAGACTAGACTAGACTATAGACTAGACTATAGACTAGACTATAGACTAGACTATAGACTAGACTATAGACTAGACTATAGACTAGACTATAGACTAGACTATAGACTAGACTATAGACTAGACTATAGACTAGACTATAGACTAGACTATAGACTAGACTATAGACTAGACTATAGACTAGACTATAGACTAGACTATAGACTAGACTATAGACTAGACTATAGACTAGACTATAGACTAGACTATAGACTAGACTATAGACTAGACTAGACTATAGACTAGACTATAGACTAGACTATAGACTAGACTATAGACTAGACTATAGACTAGACTATAGACTAGACTATAGACTAGACTATAGACTAGACTATAGACTAGACTATAGACTAGACTATAGACTAGACTATAGACTAGACTATAGACTAGACTATAGACTAGACTATAGATTAGACTATAGATTAGACTATAGATTAGACTATAGATTAGACTATAAATTAGACTATAGATTAGACTATAGATTAGACTATAGACTAGACTATAGACTTGACTATATACTAGAATATAGACTAGACTATAGACAGTTTACAATTAAGAAAATTTACTGAAAATGTCGAGAGGGTACTGCGGTATTAAAAAATGTACTAAAGTACTTAATTTCCCATGCCTGGCTACACACATTAATTATTTGTTTTTATTTTCTCACTGTGCCAGACAGAATCTATTAAATGTTTCTGGAACAACAAAATAAAAGCGTGAGTAATTTTGTTCGATATTTGTGAAATTTATTTTTACGAGTATATTTTTATAAACAAGTACTAAGTATAATGAACTAACCTATCTCAACATGACAATCAAGAGGAATAGAGAAATACATTCATACATACATATGTTTGTAGTACGGGGACCGTAACTTTGAAGAACTTGAATAGAGATTTCATTCATATCCTAGGTATATGAAGGAGAATTGTGTGTTTTTGTATGCATTCCTTTTGTTCTGGAAATTTCAAAATTATTGATGGTTTTTAGACTTTTATTGTTACGAATAATATACAATTTGTTTTTTAATTCTATAATAAAAAAATATATGATATAAAAAATTTACATTTAATGGCTAATTTGCGCAGATAAGTATAAAAATTTGGTTTATTTTTAAAAAATACTGATAAACACAATTGTTTATATCCTATATGAATGAGAGTTGTGATTTGTTTATTCTGGAAATTTCAAATGTTAAAGATGTCACGAAAATTTTTTTTATATTATGCCGACATGGCTCTGAAGTTTCGAAATTAATTTATAAAAGGTTTTCTAATTAAATCGTTTGTAAGTCCTAAAGTTTTGATTTCACAGGACAACAAATTTTGAAGAACCCTGAGACCAAACTGGGCTAAATCCGTTTATGTCCCCTGTATTTCTTCATTCTAATGAATCCGGTTGTGTTTTCTGAATTTCTTCATCAGGTTTTCGTGATATCTTTTTCGAAAGTTATTTAATATTTATTTATTAACATGGCGCATCTAATAAGGTTAAGTTAGCTTGTTCATAATAGTTTACTACGAAGTTATGAAACTACAAATAAAATCAATTCTCTCTCATAACAGACGCTATCAAAATACATATGTTTATAGCAAATTTAATGACTTCACCCTATAATCGATTCGCCTTTAAAATGGAAGTTTTAACCTACGTTATACCTTTTTCTTTTATTACCTAAAATTATCATATTCAAAATCAGCTGTTTAGTAAATATTAGTTGTTTTAGTGAAAATCAACTGTTTTACTGAAAATCAGCTGTTTAGTGATTTGATAAAAAACAACAGCTGTTTTATTAAAACCTTTTTGAACTGTTTTCAGCTGTTTTATAATATCAACTGTTCAGTGAAAAATCAGCTGTTTAGTGAAAAATCAGCTGTTTAGTGAAAATCAGCTGTTTTAGTGAACATCAGCTGTTTTAGTAAAAATCAGCTGTTTAGTGAAAACAGTTGCTTTAGTGAAAATCAGCTGATTCGGCAGTAAAAATCAGCTGTTTATGAAAATCAGCTGTTTTATTAAAAATCAGCTGATTTGGTTAAAAAAACCAGCTGTTTTAGTGAAAATCAGCTGTTTAGTGAAAACAGCCTTTTTAGTGAAAACAGCTGTTTTATTGAAAATTAGCAGTTTTTGGTAAAAATAAACTGTTTTAGTGAAAATCGGCTTTTGGTGAAAATTAGTTCTATTGTGAAAATAAGATGTTTTGGTGAAAATCAGTTGTTTCGGTTTAACCTTTATTTAAAAGTCGCCAGATTAGACTTTACGTCTTAAATATGACAAAAACCGGTGTTTTTCATCTCTGTTTATGAAAATCAGCTGTTTTATTAAAAATCAGCTGATTTGGTTAAAAAAAACCAGCTGTTTTAGTGAAAATCAGCTGTTTAGTGAAAATCAGCTGTTTAGTGAAAACAGCTTTTTTAGTGAAAACAGCTGTTTTATTGAAAATTAGCTGTTTTTGGTAAAAATAAACTGTTTTAGTGAAAATCGGCTTTTGGTGAAAATTAGTTCTTTTGTGAAAATAAGATGTTTTGGTGAAAATCAGCTGTTTCGGTTTAACCTTTATTTAAAAGTCGCCAGATTAGACTTTACGTCTTAAATATGACAAAAACCGGTGTTTTTCATCTTTGTAACATAATATTTGGAAAACATGTTGTGATGAGACCAGATTCGGATTCAGAAAAGTATGGTTTTGACTTTTTGCAAATTTAGTTAGCCTGTGTTATTCAGCATTTTTTTTGTGTTTCATATAAAATTTTAAAAATAATTTTTCATCAATGATTATGAATCAAAGATAAATCATTTGCATATTTCTACAATATCACTTTCTACACAATTGCTGCAATTACACATTACTAAGAACACCCAAAACATTTCATCACACTCAAATATTCTACAACTTTCCTGAAAGTTCGGCCAATGAACCATTAAAAACTGAACTTGTACATTAACAACAAATACTATTTGCCCTTGTTCATATTAAAAACAATTCTATGAGATAGCAAATATGTATTGCACAAATACAATTTATACTCTCAAAAAACTAAAATACTCTTAAAAGTAAAAATACAACAAATAACGAGAACATTCTCGTATTCAATGGATTTATTAAGAGAATATACCCACAGCTAACTGACTCTGACTTTGTTATGGTATAAATAGGAATGCCCAACGACACTCTGTTATCAGTAGATAACAAATCCAAGTACTAAACAAATCGTGCAATTAGCAAATACACGCTAAAGAAAAGTTTTTCATAACCCAGTGAACAAATTTATACAACAAATATAAACGAAAATGCGTACTCTACCAATTCTATGGCGTATGGCAGAAGATTTGAGACGCTTGGCTATGCCATCTTCACCATTCTTTGAATATCCATTTGCCAGCACTTATCGAGTGGCTCCCTGGAATCACATGAATCGTATGGTACAAGAGGAATTGGGTAAAATCAACAAAGATGGCTATCAAGTTTCTATGAATGTATCCGAATTTAAACCTGAGGAACTTACCGTCAAAGTTGTGGATAATCATGTGATTGTGGAGGGTAAATCGGAGGAACAACATGATAACAGCGGTTATGTTTCACGCCATTTTATTCGTCGCGTGGCTTTGCCAAATGGCTATGAGGCGGATAATGCCATCTCTACCCTAACATCGGATGGCGTACTCACTGTTAGTGTTCCTAAGCCACAAATTGAGGAAAAAGCTCGTGAAATTCCTATTCAACGTGTGGATGCAGCTTCCATTAAATCCAAAGAATCGGCGGAAGAAGGTGCTGCCACTAAAAAGGAGAATAATTAAAGAGATGACAATAATAGTTGAACAAATTTCTAAAAGGATTGTATTATAGAGAATTCGGACTGATTTATAGTCGTAGTGTGATATAAATATGTACATGTGATTGTAGTTTTAAAAAATATTTAATTAAAATATAATAAATTGTTAATTAAAAAACAAAACAATGATGGTGGTTTTCTGTTGACATCTAATTTGACTATAGAACCGACTATGAACCACACTATAGTCTAGACTCTGAAGCCTACACTGTAGTCTTGTCTATAGATCCGTAAATAACTCTCCAATTGAGAAAATAAGTGTAAATCTGTGATCCCTCACATTTTCCTTCAAATTGATTTTTATAAGAAAAACATAACAGCTATAGACTCTTAAATATCGCTCCAAATGAAAAATTAGTGAAAAGTTTAGACTACAAAGTGATATAGAATATAGACTAGACTATAGAGTAGACTATAGACTAGACTATAGACTGACTATAGACTAGACTATAGACTAGACTATGACTAGACTATAGACTACTAAGACCTAGACTAACTGGACTACTAGACTAGACTAGACTAGACTACAAAGTGATATAGAATATAGACTAGACTATAGAGTAGACTATAGACTAGACTATAGACTAGACTATAGACTAGACTATAGACTAGACTATAGACTAGACTATAGACTAGACTAGACTAAACTAGACTAGACTATAGACTAGACTAGACTAGACTATAGACTAGACTAGACTATAGACTATAGACTATAGACTATAGACTATAGACTAGACTAGACTATAGACTAGACTAGACTAGACTAGACTATAGACTATAGACTAGACAAGACTATAGACTAGACTATAGACTAGACCTATACGACTAGCTAGACTATAGACTAGACTATAGACTAAAAGACTATAGTATAGACTAGACTATAGACTAGACTATAGACTAGACTATAGACTAGACTATAGACTAGACTATAGACTAGACTATAGACTAGACTATAGACTAGACTATAGACTAGACTATAGACTAGACTATAGACTAGACTATAGACTAGACTATAGACTAGACTATAGACTAGACTATAGACTAGACTATAGACTAGACTATAGACTAGACTATAGACTAGACTATAGACTAGACTATAGACTAGACTATAGACTAGACTATAGACTAGACTATAGACTAGACCATAGACTAGACTATAGACTAGACTATAGACTAGACTATAGACTAGACTATAGACTAGACTATAGACTAGACTATAGACTAGACTATAGACTAGACTATAGACTAGACTATAGACTAGACTATAGACTAGACTATAGACTAGACTATAGACTAGACTATAGACTAGACTATAGACTAGACTATAGACTAGACTATAGACTAGACTATAGACTAGACTATAGACTATAGACTAGACGACTATAGACTAGACTAGACTATAGACTAGACTATAGACTAGACTATAGACTAGACTATAGACTAGACTATAGACTAGACTATAGACTAGACTATAGACTAGACTATAGACTAGACTATAGACTAGACTATAGACTAGACTATAGACTAGACTATAGGCTAGACTATAGGCTAGACTATAGACTAGACTATAGGCTAGACTATAGACTAGACTATAGACTAGACTATAGACTATACTATAGACTAGACTATAGACTAGACTATAGACTAGACTATAGACTAGACTATAGACTAGACTATAGACTAGACTATAGACTAGACTATAGACTAGACTATAGACTAGACTATAGACTAGACTATAGACTAGACTATAGACTAGACTATAGACTAGACTATAGACTAGACTATAGACTAGACTATAGACTAGACTATAGACTAGACTATAGACTAGACTATAGACTAGACTATAGACTAGACTATAGACTAGACTATAGACTAGACTATAGACTAGACTATAGACTACTATAGACTAGACTATAGACTTGACTATAGACTAGACTATAGACTTGACTATAGACTTGACTATAGACTTGACTATAGACTAGACTATAGACTAGACTATAGAATAGACTATAGACTAGACTATAGACTAGACTATAGAATAGACTATAGACTAGACTATAGACTAGACTATAGACTAGACTATAGACTAGACTATAGACTAGACTATAGACTAGACTAAACACTAGGCTATAGACTAGACTATAGACTAGACTATAGACTAGACTATAGACTAGACTATAGACTAGACTATAGACTAGACTATAGACTAGACTATAGACTAGACTATAGACTAGACTATAGACTAGACTTAGCTAGACTATAGACTAGACTATAGACTAGACTATAGACTAGACTATACACTAGACTATAGACTAGACTATAGACTAGACTATACACTAGACTATAGACTAGACTATAGACTAGACTATAGACTAGACTATAGACTAGACTATAGACTAGACTATAGACTAGACTATAGACTAGACTATAGACTAGACTATAGACTAGACTATAGACTTGACTATAGACTAGACTATAGACTTGACTATAGACTTGACTATAGACTTGACTATAGACTAGACTATAGACTAGACTATAGAATAGACTATAGACTAGACTATAGACTAGACTATAGAATAGACTATAGACTAGACTATAGACTAGACTATAGACTAGACTATAGACTAGACTATAGACTAGACTATAGACTAGACTATACACTAGACTATAGACTAGACTATAGACTAGACTATAGACTAGACTATAGACTGGACTATAGACTGGACTATAGACTAGGCTATAGACTAGGCTGTTGGCTATGCTATAGACTAGGCTATAGACTAGACTATTGACTAGACTATAGAATAGACTATAGACTAGACTATAGACTAGGCTATAGACTAAACTATAGACTAGTCTATAGACTAGACTATAGACTAGACTATGGACTACACTATAGACTATACCGTGGTATTTTTCAATATCAAAAGGCTCTAAAGTACTGATTTTCATGTCTGGTCTATACTAAACTATAGTCTAGTACAGTCTAAAGTACAGATCAAACTGTAGTCTAGACTACGGACAAAACTTTAGTCTATAAACTAAACTTCAGTCCAACTATATGTAGTCTACACCGTTGTCTAGACTATAGAATAAACTCTTGTGTAGACTTGACAAAACCATTGTATAGACTGTGGATTAAACTAGATAATACTCTTAACCATAGCCTTAACTGTGCTCCAAAGTATTGGCTAAATAACGGTCTAGTCTTTAAACTAAAATATGGTAAGACTAAAAAATTATTTTGAATTTTACCACACTATATAGTTTATACTAAATCAAATCTTATGATAAACTTAAAATACTGCAACTATTTGCTACGATCATTTTGCTTTACGTCACACTACTCTTTCACTGTCAATGTTCAAAATTTAATGTTAAATATTTATGGGATAAATAAAATCGCTTACAGTGAATTTCAAGTTTTTTTGAATACAATTTTCATTTTCTTTATTTTTATTTTTATTTTTAATTTTATTTATTTATTCATTTATTTTTGTTTATTTACACAAATAAATTTGACGAAATGTGAAATTAAATATAGAATTTTATAACCTTGAAAATTGTTTTATTTCCTGTACGTGGTGGTGTATCTAAATAAAATCAAGTACATTTTATTCGGGTGTCTATTTGTTTATTAACCCTTGAGGGATCCTTTAATGATTTATTTAGGAAGAAATTTAACATTTTTTATTTTTAGTTAAATATGAGATTTATTTTAAAACTTATTTTAATTTTATTACATTTTGAACAAATCTTAAAACATTTAATTAAGTATTTTTTTTATTTCACGAATTTTATTATTTTTATATTAATGAGCCGCAGAATGTGACCCCCAAAGAAGCCACAAAGGTTAATGAAAATGTATATAAATTATTTAATTTTTAATACACATCCACTTGCACTTTTCATTGTTCACTGATTTCACTAAAGCTGCCTGCCAATAGAATATTCTCTAATCATTTCGTTACGCCTCTCTCTGCTATCCATCTATTCATGTCGAGTGATTAATTATTTCCAAGGTATAGCATATTTTCCCGTTTCATTGACTTTCACCTGGCGTTCAATAGACTTAAATGTTTTTTTAGGCGGTGGTGGCGGTGGAACTTTTATGGTTAAATAACCATTTGTGGATAAATCCGAAACAACATCGTTGGGATCAAAGCCTCTGGGCAAAAGATATTTGCGTAGAAAACGACGTTCCACATAACTGTTGCCACTGTCCGTGCGTCTGCCATGCTTACCCTCTACAATGATATAATCATCGTTGGTCTTTACCTCAATCTCATGAGGCCTAAATTGGCTCACATCGATGTTAACTTGGAAGCCCTTTTCATCGATACGAACACGTTCACCATTGTAGAAATTATCCCAGACCAGAGGATACGACCAGTCAAGTAGATGATTTTGAATGTATTGATTACGTACACGACGCGTTACTAATTCGTCCATTGGTCTTAGCAGCGAACTAGAGGGCCACAACAGACGCGGATCATCCCAAAGGTAGGGATACAAATGAAAATCGTATGGTGGATAATAGCGTGGACGATCGAATTCACGCGCAAGATCGCGATAATAGCTGCTTGGCAAAAGTGCCATTTGTACTTTATTCTGTTATAAACCAAAAAAAAACTAAATATATTTTTTTAAAACTTAATAATCTGTTTATTTAAAAATCGTTTCACTCGTGTGTGGTGATTAAAAGGTTTGGCAACTGAATGAATTGAAATTTTCTCAAGATCTTTTGCCTAAGGTGAGCAGCAGCCAAAAAGAAATGTACATAATTTTCTTATTTTGGTTTTATTTGTTTGAATTTGTCTAAGAACTTAGAATTATAGCCAAATTTATTAAGTATTTGTGAGCGTGGTAATTTACTTTGTACATTTATTGACTAATCATTTAACTTAGTTGCTTTTTCAATTTTCTTCTCAGTGTAAAAATCTAGTATTGGGATTTGACGTTGATTTTGCGATGTTCATTACAATTACAAAGGTTTTTCATAATAGATAGATTAGTGATTCATTTGTTTTGATTTCTTTTAATAAACAATTTTATTTGTTTACATTTTGAATAAACAAGAGCTAATGGAGATATTGACATTCGTCCAGAGTCTAGACCGTCCACAA